TGTTTTTTAAGATATATATATATATATATATATATATATATATATATATATATATATATATTTCGGATATTTAATTTGTTTACATATCGAGTGTTCCTTCTTATACCAAATCGCAATATAATTAAATTTAAAAAAGATTTTTTGTTTCATACAAATCAGACCAGTTTGATGGTCAAATCTAGGGGTGGAAATTTCAAACGGTTCGGATTCGGGAGGGAAATGGATCGGTTCGGTTTTTTCGGTTTTACAAAAATAGGTACCAATTGGTTTTTATATTGTGTTCGGTTCGGTTCGGTTTCAGTATCGGTTCGGTTCGGTTTCGAGTTTTATTAGAAAAAGATAGATTTCCTTTAAAAATATTCGGTTTTTTCGGGATTTTTTAAAATTCAGTTCGGTTCGGTTTCGGAAAAAATCGGTTCTCTAAAAATAATACCGTTCGGGATTTGAGAACGGTTTCAGGTCGAAAAAAGTACCATTTTTCGGTTCGGAACCGAACCAAAACTACCACCCCTAGTCAAATCCACTAATTAGCAAAACTTACGCTTATACAAATAGCTAAACATATATATTTGACGAGGAATTTACCGATCCGATTTTTAAAATAATCACTGAATTAAGATCCCAAAATAATAAAGCGAATGAATATCTGTGGTGGTGGCAGGCCTAATTTAATATTTCCAAACAATTAAAAAAAAAAAAGTTCGGTCACCTAAAGATGGGCCTTTATGTAAATCGGCCCAAGCCCAATATTATATATCCATAGTTATGTAATACATCTATATATCTCTTGGAATTACAATGAAATTGGATATACATATATACACTACTTAGAGAATCATATATATATTTGATTGTACGAATTTTTTACACTATTTTTTCTAATAAAAAAACTATAATCTTGCTAAGCAAGATACCACTAGAGCAATATAATAATTACGCATATACAGAATTTAACTTTTAACCATATTCTCTGTGTGTATATTGACTTTATTAATAAACCTATATATATATATATAGGTTTAGGAAGGACAAAATCTAAATTAAATATTTATATAAACAGTAACCATACTGTCCAAATATCTTTTAGGAAACCTTAAGAGAAGTGGATTCCTTGCAGGCTAAGGGTCTTTATAATTATATAAACAATTACCATATTGTCCAAATGTCTTTTTATTTTTATTTTTAGGAACCTTCGAGTACCACGTGGCCTTGCAGGCCAAGGACCCTTGTAATTATATATAAGCCGATAATCTCGGAGCCCTAAATTAACTCGCAAATTTCCCCGTATCAATCTTCCTAGTCAAGCTTGAGTCAACTCTCCCGATCCGATCCAATCCAATCCATGGAACGAGGCGGTTACGGCGGTCGTGGACGTGGCACCGGTCGTGGACGCGGCCGTGACGGCGATCGCGGCCAGGGATCCGGTGGTCGCGGCCAGGGATCCGGTGGTCGCGGCGATCAGCGAGACCCAAGGAGCCGTGGTCAGTGGGGTCAAGCTTCGGACC